ATCAAAACTTCAAATATTGTTTTCTCAAAAACTAAAAGTTATTTTTCAAAACGTGTTGATTCATTGGAAAGAGGACACTTTTATTAACACTTTGGGAAATTTTCCTACTTGTATTCTAAGAAATGGATTTTATACGAATTTTTGAAACTTAATCGGCGGAAATTGCAAAATTTGAAAAAATTTTCGATCATTTTAAAAATTTATTTCTCAAGTACTAAAAATGATTTTTCAAAACGGCTTTTTGCATTAAAAAGAGGATACTTTTATTAATAATTGATGATATTTTCACAAGGATCTTTCAAGAAATTAATTTTACAGCGAATTTTGAAAGTTATCGATGAAAATTGTAACATCGAAAATTTTATCAAAACTTCAAATATTGTTTTCTCAAAAACTAAAAGTTATTTTTCAAAACGGGTTGGTTCATTGGAAAGAGGACACTTTTATTAACACTTTGGGAAATTTTCATACTCATATTCCAAGAAATGGATTTTATACGAATTTTTAAAACTTAATCGGCGAAAATTGCAAAATTCGAAAAAATTGTCGATCATTTCAAAAATTTATTTCTCAAGAACTAAAAGTGATTTTTCAAAACGGCTTTTTGCATTAAAAAGAGGATACTTTAATTAATAATTGGTGATATTTCCACAAGGATCCTTCAAGAAATTAATTTTATAGCGAATTTTTAAAGTTATCGATGAAAATTGTAATATCGAATATTTTATCAAAAATTCAAATATTGTTTTCTCAAAAATGAAAAGTTATTTTTCAAAACGGGTTTGTTCATTGGAAAGAGGTCACTTTTATTAACATTTTGTGAAATTTTCATATTCATATTTCAAAAACTGGATTTTATACGAAATTTTTAAACTTAATCGGCGAAAATTGCAAAATTCGAAAATATTGTCGATCATTTCAAAAATTTATTTCTCAAGAACTAAAAGTGATTTTTCAAAACGGGTTTTTGCATTAAAAAGAGGATACTTTAATTAATAATTGGTGATATTTCCACAAGGATCCTTCAAGAAATTAATTTTATAGCGAATTTTGAAAATTATCGATGAAAATTGCAACATCGAAAATTTTATCAAAACTTCAAATATTGTTTTCTCAAAAACTAAAAGTTATTTTTCAAAACGGGTTGGTTCATTGGAAAGAGGACACTTTTATTAACACTTTGGGAAATTTTCATACTCATATTCCAAGAAATGGATTTTATACGAATTTTTAAAACTTAATCGGCGAAAATTGCAAAATTCGAAAAAATTGTCGATCATTTCAAAAATTTATTTCTCAAGAACTAAAAGTGATTTTTCAAAACGGGTTTTTGCATTAAAAAGAGGATACTTTAATTAATAATTGGTGATATTTCCACAAGGATCCTTCAAGAAATTAATTTTATAGCAAATTTTGAAAATTATCGATGAAAATTACAACATCGAAAATTTTATAAAAACTTCAAATATTGTTTTCTCAAAAACTAAAAGTTATTTTTCAAAACGGGTTGGTTCATTGGAAAGACGACATTTTCATTAACACTTTGGGAAATTTTCATACTTATATTCCAAGAAACGGATTTTATACGAATTATTAAAACCTAATTATTTAAAACCTTAATTAAAAATCGAAAGTGATGATGAATTGAATGGATTGTTAAAATGAGTTTGTTAATGATGATAATAATAATAAGTATATAATATAATAATTATTAACGTTATTTTATCTGTTTAAAGACTAAATGTATTAAACAATTAATGATGATTCGTAGAAGGGGAAAGTTGTGCTGAAGAAACATGATTAATCAAGAGATGTTGGGAAGAGTTTGTGCTAAAAGGAGGAAAAAGCGGATGCAATGACTTTTCGTGCATTTAACGTAGATTTTCAGACACCCAAATATGCCAAAAAGAGACTAAACGCTTTCTGAGTATTTTCAGAGATTCCCAGACGACACCAATAGATGTGAAGAAGTCTCCGAAAACTTATCAATGTTTCTCCTAGAATATTCAGATATTTTAAAGGATTTCCTTAATTATTGAAAAGTGTCTAGATAAAACATTTCCCTAGTTACCCAGACGTTTCTATGAAATTCCAAAACGATCAGAAAGTGTCGAAACGCATACTGGATTACCTTAAATATTGCTTTAAACCAGGAAAGTGATTTTTCAAAACGACTTTTTGCATTAAAAAGAGGATACTTTAATTAATAATTGGTGATATTTTCACAAGGGTCCTCCGAGAAATTAATTTTTTAGCGAATTTTGAAAATTATCGTTGAAAATTGCAACATGGAAAATTTTATCAAAACTTCAAATATTGTTTTTTCAAAAACTAAAAGTTATTTTTCAAAACGGGTTGGTTCATTGGAAAGAGGACACTTTTATTAACACTTTGGGAAATTTTCAAACTCATATTCCAAGAAATAAATTTTAATCGAATTTTTAAAACTTAATCGGCGAAAATTGCAAAATTCGAAAAAATTTTCAATTATTTCAAAATTTTATTTCTCAAGAACTAAAAGTGATTTTTCAAAACGACTTTTTGCATTAAAAAGAAGATACGTTAATTAATAATCCAAAGTGATAATCGCCACAGTTGTGTTAGTAATGAATGTGACGATGATTACAAGGAAGAGAAGAAAATTAGAGGAAACTGTAACTAGAGATTTTATATATCGTATTGGGATTGTTACAATGACGTTGCTAATAATAAATAAATTCAATGAAAAAATTCCTATTGGAGTTGAACTTGATTATTATTTGCAGTATCCAACACCTAAAAGAGATACTAATTCCTGTGAATGGTGGAGTACTAAGTACTAAGTACGGATTTTAAAAAATGGCCGGATATCGGATAATTGCCAGATATCCGTTCCACCACAAGTGCTCACTATTCTAATTATGTCGAGACAAGTGTTATATTTAGGGTTTTTTTTTGTCCATATTCATCAGAAAAAGTTATTTATCTTAAGTGTTATATTGTTGAATACTTAGAAGGTTTGGTGATTTTGCGATACTTGAATGAGAATTGATTGATGAATATTATGTTAGGAAAAAAATAAAATTAAAATTACCGTTCCGTAGCTGCACATAAAGCCAACGTCAATCCAAACAATTCATCAATTATCTCAAAACTATCAACTTTATTAAATAAATCTATTTCGCTCATCTCTCAACATCTTTCATAATGGTACGTATTAACGTTATTTTATCGGTCCAAAGACCAAATGAATTAAACAATTAATGATGATTCGTAGAAGGGGAAAGTTGTACTGAAGAAAGATGATTAGTCAACGACTTTTCGTGCATTTAACGTATTTTTTCAGGCACCCAAATATGCCAAAAAGAGTCTAAACGCTTTCTGAGTACTTTCAGAGATTGCCTGACGACACTAATAGATATCAAGAAGTCTCCGAAAATTTATCAATATTTCTCCTAGAACATCCAGATATTTCTAAGGATTCCTTAATTATTGAAAAGTGTTTAAACGCTTTTTGGCGTACTTTTGGAGATTCCCTGAGAACACCTGTAGATGTCAAAACATATCCAAAACGTTTCTATGAAATTCCAAAATGATCAGAAAGTGTCTAAACACATTCTGGATCACCTTAAATATTGCTTTGGAGTTCAACCAAGTCTGGGTAAAAAATCTCTTCTCCTTTAACTTAGAGGCAACAATCATAATAAATAGAACAGTCCTCATTTATTCAAAATACTCTAAATATAATTACATATTTAATATTTACGNGATGAATGATATGTTAGGAAAAAAATAAAATTAAAATTACCGTTCCGTAGCTGCACATAAAGCCAACGTCAATCCAAACAATTCATCAATTATCTCAAAACTATCAACTTTATTAAATAAATCTATTTCGCTCATCTCTCAACATCTTTCATAATGGTACGTATTAACGTTATTTTATCGGTCCAAAGACCAAATGAATTAAACAATTAATGATGATTCGCAGAAGGGGAAAGTTGTGCTTAAGAAAGATGATTAGTCAAGAGATGCAACGACTTTTCATGCATTTAACGTAGATTTTCAGGCACTCAAATATGCCAAAAAGAGTCTAAACGCTTTCTGAGTACTTTCAGAGATTGCCTGACGACACTAATAGATATCAAGAAGTCTCTGAAAACTTATCAATGTTTCTCCTAGAACATCCAGATATTTCTAAGGATTCCTTAATTATTGAAAAGTGTTTAAACGCTTTTTGGCGTACTTTTGGAGATTCCCTGAGAACACCTGTAGATGTCAAAACATATCCAAAACGTTTCTATGAAATTCCAAAATGATCAGAAAGTGTCTAAACACATTCTGGATCACCTTTAATATTGTTTTGGAGTTCAACCAAGTCTGGGTAAGAAATCTTCTCTTCTCCTTTAACTTAGAGGCAACAATCATAATAAATAGAACATTCCTCATTTACTCAAAATACTCTAAATATAATTACATATTTAATATTTACGTTTTCAAGTCACTTTAATATTCAAATATTAAATAATAATAAAAAAAGACTTGAAATGAATGTTTAATTCTGAATTAATAGTTATTTTCTGTTTAGACCTTCTTCCTAAACTAATATTTCCAAAATTCGTTGCTTGTTAAATCGCCCGGAAATGGGTTAATGTGTTTCAACAACCTATGACAATTTATTATGATGCGAATGTTTCCATCTGCGCGACCACCCCGAAATGTGGTACCAAAGCCGTCGTTTGGCGCCGGCGCCACTATCGATTCGTAGAATTCGCAAAATTGTCTTCTAAGTGCGTCTACCCTCCGAGCAACAACTCAGCACACCCCCTTCATTGAATTCATCGTAAAAACGACGTTAACAGGTAGGTTAAAAAATTCATTTTTAAATTTCAATTTATATATTATAATTAATTAATTAGTTAAAAAGATATTAATCATTTATTTAATGTTAAAAAAAATTTTATTAAACAAAAATATATTATGTTTTATTGAATTAAAAAAAAAAGAATTCCAAAGCAACACGTTGTAGCAATCTATATGGTAATCTTGCGTGTTGTATCGGTTTAATACCCCTCAATTTATTCCGAATTGAATCAATAGCAACCGCCGCTTTCAACAATTTAATTGCATTTAAAAAAAAAAAAACATTTTTTTGAGTTAACTAAAAATCAATATTGGACGCAATTCCTTTCAAATATTTCGCGAATATTTTCGTTCTTTCTCAAGAGATGTTTCTACATAACAAAAGGAGAGAGGTGGGAGAGAAAACCGATTGACGTCACTGTTTCTCTTATCCCAAAAAAGGGTTGAAACACGCGATATTGACGTTTTTATTTTTTAATTTACTTTTATTCCTATTTATTCGTCCTGAATAACGTTTAACCCGGAAATAAGCTTCGCGAAATTAAATTAGCTTGTTTTGAGTTTAAAGGATTTAATTTATTAACGTTTTAGCGGGTTACCGAGTTGAAATATGAATAGAATGAGAATGGAATAAAATGAGGATGTGTAACAAGTGTTTTTGAGGTGGAGAAATTTTCGCCAATTGTTTGTAGAGCCGGGTTGGGATGTAAGAGTACGTGCTTGGCTTTCTCTATTCAATGAAACGACGTCCACGTCTAAGTAGACGTGAAAGGGATGGACTAGTTTTAAAATTACCCCTTGTTATGTTAAGTAAGGGTTGGGTTTTGGTTCATTTTAATTTTAAATAAAAAATGTTTGAACTAAACTGACCCTCAAAAAAAAACCTGCCACTATAAATTAGCCAAAACTACAAAGTTTTCTTTCTCGCGAATCGCGCATTTGATTTTGATGATTGTTTTTTTGATCGAAAGATTTTAACTTGGGCATATACGGGCTGCAAGAATGATAAAAACTTTTCTTGCTGCTACAGCAGATGGTGTTAACTGGAATCAAACGGTAGGTCAATCTTTTCTGAACATCTTGTTTTTTTATTCACTCTATTATCTCTATTACTAACGAAAATGCAGTGTTTTAAAGCGAACGCCTGTAAAAACAAGACAAACAAGCATAAAAAATCTAAGGCGGCGCGCTAGGTAGCGTATATCATTTGTTTCGAATAGTAAATTGACAGTTGTTAAAGACTTTTTTGTAATTCGCGACGGTAATGAAAGCTATAACAGTACTCAAACGGGTGCTGTAATGTGACTCCTTACAGCATCCCATGCTGTAATGAGATTTTAGTAACATTTTATGGAACCAGTTCAAGTTGGTGACATTGGGTCATTAATTTTTCTAGTTGTCAATGTGACAATTTTTGTCTATGGATGTTTAAACACGTTCTTAGCATCGAATGCAAGGTCCACAATGATGATTCTGATTGACTCTGAGCAATTTCTCTTATTTTGGGAGGTGTACATCAAACATTTTTTTCAGGTGAATATATTTTGTGTTTTGACAGTTTCTAATTGTCAATTCAAAGTTTCTATTTTCAAGTGTTCCGGTGTTACCAACTGCTATATACCTATTTCCCTACATTGTCAAAATTTACTTTATTTTTGTTAAAAAATC